GAAGCATTTCTCCCATTTTCTTGTAAGTTTTATATAGTTTTAGCTCATATATAGTGAACAACTTTTAACAAAGTTGATTGAAATTTATTTTCAAAGATTGACTCATTAAATGTAAAGGAAATCCTTTGTCATTGGTAAGGCACTAGGGAGGAGATGAGGTGGAAGGCTGTGTTATGTGAGTGGGTCTGATTCTCTGACACCAGTGAAGTGTCCAACAACTGAATCCAGTTCTGATACTGTGTGAGTTATCTTCCACCAGTTAAGGGTTCAGTCCTATAAGACTGCCCAACCTCAGACTTACACTGACTACAGATTTGAGGATTTCATAGATCCCCTCCTTAGGTTCTGTAACTCATTGGAATAGCTCAGAGAACTCAGGAAGTCCTTAACACCACCTAGCATCCATCCCGCCAAGATGTAGCCAATGTTGCTAATCTTATGTGCTCTTTAAGAGATATTCTACACATATATAAGCATGTAGTATTATCTCCTCTTATTTTTAAGTAAGTAGTAACATGTACCTGCTATTATTTTCCCCAAACCATCTTAATGTGGAGATCTTCTGTATAACAATGACTTTTTTTTTAAGATTTATTTTATTTATTTGAAAGAGCTACAGACAGGGAGAAACAGAGAGGTTTTCTGTCTGCTGAGTCACTCCCCAAATGGCTGTATTGGATGGGGCTGGTCCAGGCTGAAGCCGGGAGCTAGGAGCTTCCCCCAGGTCTCCCATGTATGTGCAAGGACCCAAGCACTTGGGCCATCTTCTGATACTTTCCCAGGTGCATTAGCAGGGAGCTGGATCAGAGGTGGAGCAGCTGGGACTCGAACTGGCGCTCATATGCGATACTGGCATCTCAGGCAGTGGCTTTACCTGCTACACTACAATGCTGGCACCGACAATGGTTTTTAAACTGTACTTTGTATTAGAGTTTCCAGGTGGCTACTTAACCTATTATGCCACAACGCTGGTCCATTGTGTCTGATTTTTGCGTAATAATTCTGGTCTTTCCTAAATGAAAGATCTCTGCAAGTGAGATCCCAGTGGACAGGGCCATCAAAGAAGGAGGTACCTTTCTCTGAAGGGAGGAGAGAACTTCCACTTTGACTATGACCCTGTCAGAATAAGATCGAAGTCGGCGAACCCAAAAGGCTTCCAATAGCCTTGGCAACTCATGACTAGAGCCTAGGGAGATTACTGACGCCATAAACGCCATAAGTGTCAAATTGTTAAGTCAACAACAGGAGTCACTGTGTACTTACTTCTCATGTGGGATCTGTCCTTAGTGTGTTGTCCAATGTGAAGTAATGCTATAACTAGTACTGAAACAGTATTTTTACACTTTGTGTTTCTGTGTGGGTGCAAACTGATGAAATCTTTACTTAATATATACTGAATCGATCTTCTCTATATAAAGATAATTGAAAATGAAAAAAAAAATTCTGGTGTTTCCCTTTCCATGGTTAAATAGAAATTCACAGATTGGGCAATTGGCCTAGCAGTTCAGACTAGGAATAAGCATCTCAAATAAATAATAAAACATAATTATGAAAAAGAGAAATTTATGTGTTTTCTACTAATCCTTGCATGATTTCATTCTTATTTTTAGATATTTAAACTATTTGAATTTATTCTTAGTTTTGATATGAATATGGATCTAATTTTATCTTTTTCCATAAGGCAACTCAGTTGCCCAGCACCATTTATTTATTTATTTTTTACTTTTTTAGAGATTTATTTATTTATTTGAAAGAGTTAGAGAGAAGGAGAGGCAGAGAGAGAGAGAGGTCTTCCATCTGCTGATTCACTCCCCAGTTGGCCACAATGGCCGGAGCTGAGCTCTTCTGAAGCCAGGAGCTTCTTCCATATCTCCCATGTGGGTACAGGGGCCCAAGCACTTGGACCATCTTCTGATGCTTTTCCAGGCCATAGCAGAGAGCTGGATTGGAAGTGGAGCAGCCAGGTCTCGAACCAGCACACATATGGGATGCCGGCACTGCAGGCGGCAGCTTTACCTGCTACGTCACAGCACTGGTCCTCCCAGTACCATTTATTAAAAAGTCTATCTTTCCCTCAATGGTTTGAATTTTATTTATATTTTAGGAGGGTAGAGAAAAAGAGAGACAGTGATAAGAGAGAGTCTCTATCTACTGGATCACTTCTCAGTGCTCACAATACTTGGTACTGAGCCAGGCTGAAGCCATGAGTCTGGAACTCAGTCTTGATCTCCTCTGTGGGTGTCAGGACCCTAAGCTCTTGGACCTGCCTCCCAGGGTACACATTAGTAGGAAGACAGACTTGGATACAGGGCTGGGACTCAAACTCAGAGGCACACTGATATGGGATGCGGGTGTTCCAAGAGGGGTTTTAACTACTGTGCCAAATTCCCACTCCTACCCCAGTTATTTGAGATTTCACTTGCATCTGTTTATCAAAAATATATATGTACATATATATGTATGTATATATATATACACACACACACTTGGTCTATTTCTATTATATACATTTTACAATTCCATTGGTTCTGCTATGTGCCACGGTCTTCACGGTATTTTTTTTAATTTTTATAATTTTTTTATTTTTTTAATTTTAAAACAATTTTTTAAATTTTTATTGAACTTATTTGAAGGCAGAGAGACAGAGAGATCTGCCATCTTCTGATTCAGTCCCCAAATGCCTCCACCAGGCAAGGCTGGACTGGGCTGAAGCCGACATCCTGGAACTCAATCAGGGCCTCCCTTGTGGGTGGCAATTACCCAACTACTTGACTCGTCACCTGCTACCTTCCACACTGTGCCTTATCAGGAATCTTGAATCAAGGGCAGAACTGGGATTCAAATCTGGGCTAATGATAGCAATACCAGAAACCTAAAGAGGTGTGATTACTTTCTGGGAGTACAGATGTAGTGAAGCAACATAATTAGCTTTAGTACTTTAGAGCAGAGGCTGAATTAAAGGTTTGTGCTTCTGGGGCCAGCGTTGTGCCGTAACAGGTAAAACTGCTGCCTTTGATGCCGGCATCCCTTATGGACAGTGGTTCATGCCCTGGCTGCTCCACTTCTGATCCAGCTCCCTGCCTGATGGCCTGGGAAGAGCAGCAGAAGATGACCCAAGTATTTGGACCCCTGCCACCCATGTGTGAGACCCAGAGGAAGCTGCTGGCTCCTGCAACCATTTGGGGAATGAAATACAGGATGGAAGATCTCCCTCCCTCCCTCCCTCCCTCCCTCCTTCTCTCTCCTCTCTCTCTCTCTCTCTCTCTCTCTCTTTTTGACAGGCAGAGTGGATAGTGAGAGAGAGAGAGAGACAGAGAGAAAGGTCTTCCTTTTGCTGTTGGTTCACCCTCCAATGGCCGCCACAGCTGGCGCGTTGCGGCCGGTGCACCGCGCTGATCCGAAGGCAGGAGCCAGGTGCTTCTCCTGGTCTCCCATGGGGTGCAGGGCCCAAGCACCTGGGCCATCCTCCACTGCACTCCCTGGCCACAGCAGAGAGCTGGCCTGGAAGAGGGGCAACCGGGAAAGAATCCGGCACCCCGACCGGGACTAGAACCCGGTGTGCCGGTGCCACTAGGTGGAGGATTAGCCTATTGAGCCGCGGCGCCGGCCTCTCTCTGACTTTCAAATACATGCTTGTTTAAAAAATAAAAAGGATTTATGCTTTCTGTTGTATCTATGAACAGTGAACAGTTTGGTCTTTGATATCCGGGTAACTCCTTAGAAAAGTGAAATTATTCAACAACCATCCTATAGGACTTATGTGAAAATTGATAATATTGCTCCCTCCTGAAAGTAAAAATTATAAAATACCGTTATTACTGCCCAGGCTCTTAGTAGGTAATCTGAATAGACTTTTTGCTGTTAAATATTACATCAAAAGATGAATTTTGGCCTGCGCCGCGGCTCAATAGGCTAATCCTCCGCCTGCAGCGCCGGCACACCGGCTCCTGCCTTTGGATCAGAGCAGTGCAGTGCGCCGGCCGCGACAGCCATTGGAGGGTGAACCAATGACAAAGGAAGACCTTTCTCTCTGTCTCTCTCTCTCTCACTGTCCACTCTGCCTGTCAAAAAAAAAAAAAAAAAAAAAAAAGGATGATTTTAAAAGCTCAGTTCTTAGAATTCATCATTAAATTAATCATCATAAGAGCCGTAATAGGTTGTTTTCTGGTGAGGAAAAGGGTCTGGTGGTAGCATGTGGCTTTTGTAACCTGGTTGCTATAAGCAAACTAATAATACTCGATGGTGTGACTGCAGAGGAAAGAGCTATGACTATTCATCGTAAATATTTCCTTAAAGAAAAGAGAAATCTTGAATTTTCCTGTAAGGAAACTGAGGCCTATAGAAATTAAAATCCACTAAGAGCTCACAGTTGATTTCAGAGGTTGACTAGATTGAGGTCTTCTGAGCTTTGGTCTCCTTTTCATTAATAAGCTTCCTATGTATACATATAACTAAAATAGCCTTTCAAAGGCTGTTTTGTGAAGGTACTTTAGAAAGTTTATGGAAAAATGGCATTAAAAGATAAGTTTATTTTTGTGCAAAATATTTTTGAGATATGGGGAATATTTTTCATAAACATTTTCCACATTCTTTTTGAAGTACCCTCATATATTTTACTCTGTTTTAACCTGCATATCTAAAAGGAAGTTCAATTTGTATGATTATATAATCTTATAGTTCTGTTGTTTTTAGAATTATAAATACATTTCTTATAGTTTTGTTTTTCGAATTATGAATACATTTTATGAACACATTTTTTCAGAGTACAATGTTTGATTTTCACTTTAGAAAATGTGGAAAAAATGCATTAATTACATGTCAATATGTTATGCTTACATATATTGTTAGAAATAATCAGGTACATTTAAAAAACACCAACTCTAATGCAACTAATGATGTTTTATGTCCCTTTTTCTGTCCTGAGATTATTATTATTTATTTTCTCATCTAGCAATTTATGTTTCAGTATTCTTATTGATTTTTTTGCTTTCCCCCCATAGATCTTGAGCCAGATGATTGTGCATCCATTTACATCTTTAATGTAGATCCACCTCCATCTACTTTAAATTCACCACTTTGCTTACCACATCATGGATTACCGTCTCACCCTTCTGTTTTGTCATCATCGTTGCAGCTCCAAGGTCACAAAAACTATGAAGAAACTTGTGATATTCCTGAGTCTAAATACAGCCCATTAGGTGGTCCCAAACCTTTTGAGTGCCCAAGTATTCAAATTACATCCATCTCTCCTAACTGTCATCAAGAAACCAATCAACATGAAGATGACGTACACATAAATGACCCAGAAAGGGAATATTTGGAAAGGCCTTCTAGAGATCATCTCTATCTTCCTCTTGAGCCATCCTACCGGGAATCTTCCCTTAGTCCTAGTCCTGCCAGCAGCATCTCTTCCAGGAGCTGGTTCTCAGATGCATCTTCTTGTGAATCTCTGTCACACATTTATGATGATGTGGACTCAGAGTTGAATGAAGCTGCTGCCCGATTCACTCTTGGATCCCCTCTGACTTCTCCAGGAGGCTGCCCTGGAGAAGACTCCTGGCATCAACAGTATGGACTTGGAAACTCCTTGTCACCCAGGCAATCTCCTTGCCACTCTCCTAGATCCAGTATCACTGATGAGAATTGGCTGAGCCCCAGGCCAGCATCAGGACCATCATCGAGGCCCACTTCCCCCTGTGGGAAACGGCGGCACTCCAGTGCTGAAGTTTGTTATGCTGGATCCCTTTCACCTCAACACTCACCTGTTCCTTCTCCTGGCCACTCCCCCCGGGGAAGTGTAACAGAAGATACCTGGCTTAATGCTTCTGTCCACAGTGGGTCAGGCCTTAGCCCCGCACTTTTTCCATTTCAGTACTATGTGGAGACTGATATCCCTCTGAAAACAAGGAAAACTTCTGAAGATCAAGCTGCCATACTACCAGGAAAATTAGAACTCTGTTCAGATGATCAGGGAAGTTTATCACCATCACGAGAGACTTCAGTAGATGATGGCCTTGGATCTCAGTTTCATTTAAAGAAAGATTCATCTGGTGACCAATTTCTTTCAGTTCCTTCACCCTTTACTTGGAGCAAACCAAAGCCTGGCCATACCCCTATATTTCGGTGAGTTGATAGAAGTGGGTGCTGATCATTTGTCATGATTATGGATCATTGGTAGCCCAATGGCTTGATCATTTTGCTGTCTTTTCCTTTTTTAAAAAAATTTCCACTGAACAATTAGCCTGTTTATTTCTACTTTTCTTTGAGTCTTCAAAGTGTTTTTAGAAAGGCTAACATAATTTTAAAAATGTATAGGTGGCCGGCGCCGCAGCTCACTTGGCTAATCCTTTGCCTGTGGCGACAGCACCCCGAGTTCTAGTCCCAGTTGGTGCGCCAGATTCTGTCTCGGCTGCTCCTCTTCCAGTCCAGCTCTCTGCTGTGGCCTGGGAAGGCAGTGGAGGATGGCCCAAGTGCTTGGGCCCTGCACCCACATGGGAGACCAGGAGGAAGCACGTGGCTCCTGGCTTCAGATTGGTGCAGTGCGCCAGCCATGGTGGCCATTTGGGGAGTGAACCAACAGAAAAGGAAGACCTTTCTCTCTGTCTCTCTCTCTCACTGTCTAATTCTGCCTGTCAAAAAAAAAAAAAAAAAAAGTGTATAGGTAATGAATTGTAGATAAAAATAAGTTTAAAATTCCCTAGAAGGAATTTTCTCAACTAGAAAAGTTTATTTTAAAAGATGTGTTACAGAATTTTCTCATCTAGAAAAGCTCATTGTAAAAGGTGTGTTACAGTATAAATTTTTTTTTAATTTATTTGACAGGTAGAGTTATAGACAGTGAGAGATAGAGAGAGGTCTTCCTTCTGCTGGTTCACTCCCCAAATGACCACTACAGCTGGCGCTGTGCTAATCCAAAGCCAGGAGCCAGCTGCTTCTTCCTGGTCTCCCATGCGACTGCAGGAGCCCAAACACTTGGGCCATCCTCCACTGCCTTCCCAGGCCACAGCAGAGAGCTGGACTGGAAGAGGAGCAACCGGGACTAGAACCTGGCGCCATATGGGATGCCGGCACCACAGGTAAAGGATTAACCAAGTGAGCCACAGCGCCGGCCCCATTACAGTATAAATTAAGTTACAGCTAAAACCAATGGAGAATAGGCTTATTATTTTTTTTTAGAGGATTTATTTATTCAAAAGGCAAAGTAGAAGGATTAGGGGGCTGGCGCTGTGGTATAGCAGGTAAAGCCACCACCTGCAGTGCTGACATCCCATATGGGCACTAGTTCAAGTCCCAGATGTTCCACTTCTCATCTAGCTCTCTGCCATGGCCTGGGAAAGTGGTAGAATATGGCCCAAGTCTTTTTTTTTTTTTTTTTAAAGATTTTATTTATTTATTTGAGTTACAGAGAGTGAGAGGGAAAGACAGAGAGAAAGGTCTTCCTTCCATTGGTTCACTCCCCAAATGGCCGCAATGGCCAGAGCTGTGCCGAACTGAAACCAGGAGCCAGGTGCTTCTTCGTGGTCTCCCTTGCAGGTGCAGGGGCCCAGGCACTTGGGCCATCTTCTACTGCTTTCCCAGGCCACAACAGAGAGCTGGATGGGAAGAGGAGCAGCCAGGTCTAGAACTGGCGCCCATATGGGATGCTGGTGCCGCAGGCTGAGGATTAACCTGCGCCATGGTGCTGGCCCCTGGCCCAAGTCTTTGGGCCCCTGCACCCACATGGGGGAGCCAGAAAAAGCTCCTGGCTTCAGATCAGCCCAGCTTTAGCCATTGCAGACATTTGGGAAGTGAACCAGTGAGTGGAAGACTTCTCTCTCTCTGCCTCTGCCTCTCTCTAACTCTGCCTTTCAAATAAATAAATAAATAAAGGCAGCTTAAAAAAAAAAAAAAAGGCAGAGTGAAGGGACTGATGTTGTGGTGTAGTGGATAAAAAGCTGCTGCCTGCAATACTGGCATCCCACATGGGTGCCGGTGTGAGTCCCCACTGTTCTACTTCCAATCCAACTCCCTGCTAATGTGCCTGGGAAAGCAGTGGAGGATTGCCCAGGTTCTGGGGCCTTTGCACCCACGTGCAAGACTCAGAAGAAGCCCCTGGCTTCAGTTTGTCCCAGGCAGACCATTATAACCATTTTGGGAGTGAACCAGTGGATGGAAGATTTCTCTGTCTTTCTCTCTCTGTAACTCTGCATTTCAAATAAATAAAATCTTTAAAAAAAATAAAAAAGGCAGCACTGGGGGCAGGGGGAGAGGAGATATCTTCCATCTGTTGATTTACTCTACAAATGCTTATAACAGCCAGGCCAGGATGAATCTAGAAGTCAGGAACTCCAACCAGGTCCCCCACATGGGTGGCAGGGACCCAGGTACTTGGGCCATCATGTGCTGCTTTCCCAGGCATGTTAGCAGGGAGTGGAACAGCCAGGACTCAAAAGGAATATGAAATTCAGGCATCATAAGCAGGAGCTTAACCTGCTATGCCATGACACTGGCACTTTATTTTTTTCAAGATCTCAAAATATGACTGAAATTTGCCTTTTAATGTTCATGGCAAGTGCTTTTTAAAAAATTTAATTTTTGTCTTTTGACTTTGTAAGTTGATTTTTTTGTTGAATATAGTGAATTTTTGAATTTTATATATTCAGATTTGTCTTTATGGCTTTTGAGTCTATGGTATTTTTGAAAGTCTTATTCCTCTAAAATAATTAAAAGCAGAAATCTTTTAGACAAATTTCTAATAAGCTTCTTTTTTTTCTTAAGGATTAAATTATTTGCAAGGAAGAGTGACAGAGAGAAAGAGAGAGAGGCAGAAACAAGAGATATTTTATCTAATGGTTCCCTCCCCAAATGGCCACAACAGCCAGGCCTGGGGTAGGCCAAAGCCAGGAGCCTAGGAACCTATCAGGAGCCTATCAGGGCTCCCACATGGGTGGCAAAGGCCCAAGTGTTTGGGCCATCTTCCACTCCTTTCCCAGATACATTACCAGGGAGCTGGATCGAAAGTGGAACATCCAGGCAGTGCCTTAACCAGCTGTACCACAATGCCAGGTTCTCTAATAAAGTTTTTAATATTTATTGTATGTGCATATTATATATAACCATATAGTATTTATATGTATCAGATATGCATATATATTTGAATTGTGATTCCAGCAAATTTATTTTGGAGTAAAGAGTGAAAAATGTTGTAAAGATTTTTTTCAAATAACCTAAATAGTTTATCAGTTGTCACAGTGCCATTTAAAGAATCAATCTGGTTTATAATCAGGAAAGAAAACTTTTATCATGTATTGAATCCTCATATGGAGTTGTATCTGTTTAGGGTTTTTTTCCCCCAATGCTTTTTTTTTTTTTTTTTTTAAGATTTTTTATTTATATTTATTTGACAGGTAGTTACAGAGAGAGAATGAGATGGAGAGTAAGGTCTTCCGTTGGTTCATCTCCCCCAAATGTCCGCTATGGCTGGCGCTGCGCCGATCTGAAGCCAGGAGCCAGGCGTTTCTTCCTGATCTCCCATGTGGGTGCAGAAGCCCAGGCACTTGGGCCATCCTCCACTGCTTTCCCAGGCCACAGCAGAGAGCTGGTCTGGAAAAGGAGCAACTGGGACTAGAACCCGGTGCCCATATGGGATGCTGGCGCCGCAGGCGGAGGATTAGCTAAGTGAGCCATGGTGCCGGGCTCCCCCAATGCTTTTTCGTGTGTGTTAATAATTTTCTCTGCAACCTGATCTTTTGAAAAATATAATTTGGAATTATAGTATTGTAAACACCTGTGAACTCATCACTGATTCTAAAATTAATCTTAGGGACCGAGGTTGTGGTACAGTAGGTTAAGCTGTCACGGTAACTCTGGCATACCATATCAGAGAGCTGATTTGAGTTCCAGCCATTTCACTTCCAATCCATCTCCCTGCTAATGTGCTTGGGATAGCAATCACTTGGGTCCCTGGTCCCACGTAGGAGACCTGGATGGAGTTTCAGTTTTCCTAGCTTTGGTCTTGTCTAGCCCTGGCTGTTGGAGCCATTTGGGGAGTGAATGGAAGATGCCTCTCTCTGTATCTCCCTCTGTCTGTAACTCTGCCTTTCAAATAAATAAGTAAATCTTTAAAAAATAGTAATAAAAGTTGTTAATCTTTCTAAGATTTTGCTTAAGTATACAGAACAAATATAGAACTGAGATTTGATAAAGTTGAGTTGTTACAGACTGATAAAAAAGATTACCTTTGAGCTTCACAGTAGGAAGACTTAAATCTAAGATGAGGACATTGAAGGAAGCAATGAAATAAATAGAAATTTAATGCAGGAATGATAGCATTTCAGAGGTAGAAGGGACCTTAAAAGTTCCATTTCACCAGTTACTGACAGGGTACTACTTCTTAATAAAAATTATTTACTTATTTTGAGAGGCAGAGAGACAGATGGAGACAGAGAGCTCCCATCCGCTGATTATCTTTCCAGATGCTCACAACAGCTAGCATGGACCAGAAAAGCACTAAGCTGGGACCCACAAATTCAGTTCAGGTTCCCCACATGGGTGGCAGAGACTCAGCCACATGAGGGTGCACATTATCAGGCACTTTGATAGTGAATGCAAACATCCCAAGTGACATCCTAACCATCAGGCCAAAAGCCCCCTCTTTAGTACAGATTGCTGTCTCCTTAGTGCAGATCATTCTGACTTTAGATCTATTAATATTTGACCTATAAATATACATGTTGTTTCTTTTTTATTTAAAAATTTTATTTGAAGAACAAAGAGACAATGACAGAGTAGTAACTATCTGCCAACTCCATAAATGCCTGCAAACTGCTGGGTGGCGGTGTCCTAAGTACTTGCCTCCTAGGAAGCTGTTAGCTGGAAGCTGTTAGCTGGAAGCTGGATTGTAAGTAAAGAAACCAGGACTAGAGCCATGCATTCTGATATCAGCAAATAAACCCATTAATGGAGAATTAACCACTGTACCCCCAAGTCCTTTCTTTTCTAATTCAACTTTTTAATGTTAATAAATGTAAATGAATCTTTTAGGCCTTAAAACTGTTTAAATTTTCTTATTAAGTAAGAAAACCTCAATGTTCAAAGATGCTGCAGTGATAGGATTTCCTTATATTTTTAGGCATGTATTCAAAATAACTTTTATTCCAAATTGCAAATGTCCCTGAATGTAGGCAGTTTTTCAGAAAGATTGGGAAAAGATCAATAGGGAAGAAGTGGGGGACGCAACCTATGCGATAGATTGACTTAAACAGATCAGAACAAGGAAGAAGAGATAGGTAAGAGGCATCTAGCCGAAACAGAGAGATATAAGACACTGAGTCAGGCACAGAGAGGTATACATCTTTGCTTTAAGAAACCAAATTGTTAATTTTTGATTCTGTAATTACATACACAGAGTTGAGAAACAGTTACAATTTTATAAATTGTTAAAATTTCTTCTTTTAAAAAATATTCGGAGTTGACAAAAGATTAAAGAATTATTTATTCACCTATTTATACCGAGTAAAGTTTCATTTTGGAATACTTTGTTTCAGAGATCACAGGAAGAAATGTTAGTGCTAGCAGAAAATGATTTGAGTCACTGCTTGGCAGTCATAGCCTGGTGAAATGCATCTCTGTGTTTTGTTTATAGCACATCTTCATTACCTCCACTAGACTGGCCTTTACCAACTCATTTTGGACAATGTGAACTGAAAATAGAAGTGCAACCTAAAACTCATCATCGAGCCCATTATGAAACAGAAGGTAGCCGAGGGGCAGTAAAAGCATCTACTGGGGGACATCCTGTTGTGAAGGTATGAGACTTTTGGGGCTTGTTTGCAGATACTTATTAACTGCTAGGTGATTCTATCCAGTTAGGTGTTACAGAAGCTAAAGAGAGAACACTCAAAAACTAGAGTAATGAGGCCAGCGCTGTGGCACAGAGTGTTAACACCCTGGCCTGAAGTGCCAGCATCTGTATAGGCACCATATGTGGCTCAGTAGGTTAGTCCTCCGCCTGCGGTGCCGGCTTCCCATATGGCACCGGTTCTAGTCCCAGCTGCTCCTCTTCCCATCAAGCTCTCTGCTATGGCCTGGGAAAGCAGTAGAAGATGTCCCAAGTGCTTGGGCCCCTGCACCCGCATGGGAGACCTGTAAGAAGCTCCTGGCTTTGGATTGGCACAGCTCGGGCCGTTGCGGCCATTTGGGGATGAAAGACCTCTCTCTCTCTCTCTTTCTCTCTCTCTCTCTCTCTCTCTCTCTCTCTTTCTCTCTTTCTCTCTTTCTCTCTTTCTCTCTTTCTCTCTTTCTCTCTCTCTCTCTCTCTCTAGAGAGTCCCTGTTGGTTTTGGGTGCTTGTTGCTAGGGCTACACTTTCTATTGAGTTTTCCTGTGGAAGGCTAAAGATACTCCTGGTTTGACTGCAACTGAGAAAACTGGGGGAATGATTATTACCATGACCAGTGGCTGTTTTTCTGATCTTTTTTAAAGAAGTGACTCTGTTATATTTATAAATGTAATATGTATTCATTTAAAATTTAAGTAATACAGAAAGTACAAAAAATAAAGCAATCAAATTCCCTCAGAAATAAATAGTGTTAACATTTGATTAGTGATTATGACAACTCTGGGTATATATATTTAGTGGAAGATTGAATGGATGACTAGAAAAATGAGTGAATTTTTAAAGAATAGGGTTATGCTTACCATTTAAATAATTAAAATATTTTATTTGAATTTATTACAAGAAAATAAAATGAAATTTTATATGTGAAATATAATAATAAAATATTGACTTTAAAATAATTTGAATGAAAAATAACATTGAGAAAAAAGCAAAAACTAAGAACTGCTGGATCTTAGATACTTTACTTTAATAATTCCTAAAAGATCTTTCTAAGGTCAAAATATATATTAAATATATTATTGAAAGATTAAGCTCATTGTTCCAGATTTAGATGGTATAAATTAAGTCTCTGTTCCAAAAAATAAGATAATTATCTCTGTTAAACTTCCTCACCTTTCTCTACTATCTCCTGAATTTTCTTCTTTTTTTTTTTAAATTAATTTATTTATTTGAAAGTCAGAGTTACACAGAGGAGAGTCAGAGAGAGAGAAAGGGAGAGAGAGAGGTCCTTCATTTGCTGGTTCACTCCCCAATTGGCTGCAATGGCTGGAGCTGTGCCAATCTGAAGCCAGAAGCCAGGAGCTTCTTCCGGGTCTCCCATGTGGGTGCAGGGGTCCAAGGACTTGGGCCATCTTCCAATGCTTTTCCAGGCCATAACAGAGCTAGATGGGAAGTGGAGCAGCCAGGTCTCGAACTGGTGCCCATATTGTCGCTCCCCCTCTTCGCGGAGGAACGACACAAAACCCTGCCTAGGTTTCCTATCCGAGTCACGGCACCATTATGTCACTCCCCGTCTTCGTGGAGGAACGACACAGGACCCTGCGTTGTTCTTTCGTCTGCTCGGCCCTCCCCGGGGTTTGCTGCTGGTTCTTCCCGGGTTGGCTACCGACCCTTCCACCTCCGTGGAAGGGCGGTTCCCCCTGCCACCTTCCCCACTTCCGCGGGGGAGCGGCACACCGCCGGCCGGCTCTCTCGGGGGCTGCACAGGTGTTCCTTCAGCTAGATGTTCCCCTTAGATGTTCCTGGTGCATGTTGTCTCTCTCCTCCTTTATAGTCCTCTTCCACCAATCCCAACTCTGCTACCCACACGCCGAGTACGCTGCTCTCCTCCAATCAGGAGCAGGTCCTACAGTTTATTGGTTGAACTGGAGGCAGCTGTGTAGAAGCTGTTTTCTCCTCTCCCAGCACCATATTGTGGGAGAGCAGATGCATAGAATAAGTCTTAATTCCAGTAATTTAGTCTAGTCCGAGTTGCTCCCCACACATATGGGATGCCAGCACTTCAGGCCAGGGCATTAACCCACTGCGCCACAGCGCCAGCCCCTTTTTCTTCTTTTTTTAAAATGTTTATTTATTTTAAAGAGTTACAGAGAGTTGATCCCCCACCCTCTGTTCACTGCCCAAATGGCCGCAATGGCCAGGATTGAGCCACGCCAAACACAGGAGCCTGCAACTCCTTCTAGGTCTCCCATGTGAGTGGAAAGGGTCCAAGTATTTGGCTCTGTAGTGCTGGCATCCCATATGGCCACTGGTTTGGTTCCTGGGTGCTTCACTTCCTATCTAGCTCCCTGCTGATGTACCTGAGAAAGCAGTGGGAAATGGTCCAAGTACTTGGGCTTCTGTACCCATGTGGGAGACCCAGAAGAAGCTTCTGGCTCCTGGCTTTGGTCTGGCTCAGTTATGGCTATTGTGCCCATTTGGGGAGTAAACCAAGGGTTGGAAGATCTTTCTCTCTGTTTCTCCCTCACTTTCTGTAACTCTGCCTTTCAAATAAAATAAGTAAATCTTTAAAGAAAAAGGGGGGGGGGGTGGGCAGTGCTGTGGCATAGTAGGCTAAGCCTTCATCTGCAGTTCTAGAATCCCATATGTGTGCCAGTTTGTGTCCCAACTGCTCATCTTCTGGTCCAGCTTTCTGCTTATGACCTGGGAAAGTGGTGGAAAATGGCCCAAGTTTCTGGGCCCCTGCACTTAACTGGGAGACCTGGAAGAAACTCCTGGCTCCTGGCTTCTGATCAACTTAGCTCTGGCCATTGTGGCCATTTTGGGAGTGAACCAGCTGATAGAAGACCTTTCTCTGTCTTTCCCTCTCTCTCTCTCTCTCTCTCTGTATCTCAAATAAATTAATAAAATCTTAAAAAAAAAAAAGAAGCAGCAGCAGCAGCAGAGCAGCCTGGACTCTAAGCAGAGCTCCTATGGGATGTTGGTGCTGTAGGTGGTAGCTTAACCCACTGCAGCACAATGTTGGCCTCCTTGAATTTTCTTAGCTTACTTGTCCATTCAAGCCCTGCCCCCAGCCAGTCATATAGCCTTAGCTCTGTATATTGTCAGTGTCATTACTTCTGACTTCTTTATACTTTATTTCAGCATTCAATTTTGTTTTTTGTTTATGGAGTTTGTCCATTTTTTTTGAATTGACCATTCCTTGTTTTTTTTCATGTTTTAGAATATATTTGTTACCATAAGGTACTCAAACATTAGAATTGCTATATATAATAATCTTATCTTTGAGCAAAAGAGAGAGAGAAGGAGGGAGGGATGGACCTGGGGATAGGCCAAGCCAAAGCCAGAAGTCTGGAACTCTATCTAGGTCTCCTACATAGATGCAGAGGCCCAAGGAATTGAGCCATCTTCTGCTAGGGCATATTAGCAGGGAGCTGGACTGGAAGCAGAGTGGCCAAAACTTGAACCAGTGCTTTCATATAGGCTGCCCGCTTTGCAGGCAGCAGCTTAACCCACTGTTCCACAATGCCAGCCTGGTTATCTTTTGACCAGTTTTTTTCTAAGAGCCCCCTGACTTTTAGTGTTACAGTAATAGATTTCAGTTAGGTCCAGAAAGGAAAAAAGATTAAAAAACAAACAAACAAACAAAAAAAAAAAAACAGGGGACCAGCGACGTGGCGCACTGGGTTAATCCTCCGCCTGCAGCGCATCCCTTATGGGTACTGGTTTCTGGTCCCAGTTGCTCCTCTTCTAGTCCAGCTCTCTGTTGTGGCCCCTGAGGGCAGTGGAGGGTGGCCCAGGTGCTTGGGCCCCTACACCTGCATGGGAGACTGGGAGGAGGCACCTGGCTCCTGGCTTCGGATCAGTGTAGCCCTGGCCGTTGTGGCTATTTGGGGGGTGAGCCATTGGATGGAGGACCTTTCTCTTTGTCTCTCTCTCACTGCCTGTAACTGTACCTGTCAAATAAATAAATAAAAAAACTTCAAAAAAAAAAAAAAAAAAAAACTCTTGTTTCTTGGTGCTGGATATCTCACTTAATGGGTGAGGAAACCAGGAGCTATCATGTGAAGAAAGAGAATAAAAGGGGCTCAGGCTAATGGTCCATTTCAGCTGCCTAGGTATGATAAATGACTCAGAGCTGGGGTCCAGGGAGAAAGTGGGGAAGAGGCTGAGAACTAAGCATGCACTCTGAAGAATGTGAGTCCTGGGAGAAGAATGGAGTCAGTCTCATTGTTGACTTTCTACAAAGGAAAAGTGACCTTTGCCTCAAGAGAAACCCTTCCAACAGCCTAGTTTTAATAAAATAAAAAAAGGGAGGCACTTACTGTAGTATCCAGGAGCCGAGGAAGAAGGATGTCCTCATAGTTAACTGTATTTGAAAGATTGTGTAGAAGTTTGCAATTCAGGATGACCCATCTTCATTCAATAGTTATGTTTACAGATGGACAGGATCTTGTCTTAAAGATTACTTTAGAATAGTCCCCAAAGGATCAAAGTCTTGAGGAAGGAGTTCCTAAATGTAAGCGAGGGAAGAAGGGTTTTCAAGATCAAGGGCAAAGTGAGAAGGGGCATAGGACCCAGACTCTGGGTCCTAGAATCTTAAGTCATTTTTTTCTGCCTTCTCTGGTCCTGTGCCTACTCTCCAATGCTGGGGAAGTGCCCTGCGCTGCTATGCCGATCTCCATGCCCAACTTAATTTGATGATGCGAGTAATGATTTCCTGTTTGAGGACAGTCACCTCAGGTCTCTTGCCACTCTCACACCCACATATGCTGACAAACATATACCTTGACCAATTTTGTGTATTTGTATCTCTTTCATACTGATTTGCTACAGTTGATCCAATTTCTTTGTTATCTATGAGTATTAAGTATGAGATTTTTGTTTTCTGGTCTTCTGTTGCTTACCTGTTTATTTTCTTGATTTTATCTTTTCTGAATTCTTTTGTTAAATTATTTGAGAGGACAAG